TTGAATAAAAATATATAGGAAACTGCAGTTACGATTCCATCAATTTACACACCCTTTCCGGAAACCGCAACTACGATCTTCTCATTAGGAATTGCCCAATATGTAGCCCATTAACTCTGCCTGCGAAGGCCATCGACAGCACACTGGAGCTTCGTTTATCCAAAAAGTGTTTATTCATATGAAATGAGCACACAGTAACGATTTGATAGATTCGCAAGTTTTTGCTTCACACGTATGGGAATTGCACAAAGACGAAGCTTCGCGTAAACAATATGACTGAATATTTAAACGACGTCTGGGAAGCAGCCAGCAGGTCTGCAGAGGAGACTTCATTGGTCGGCATTGCCATTACCAGGAGCTGGACGTCACACAGGCGTTTGGGCATCGGTTTTGGTGCTGTTGGCTTCAGCACTGCTCGTTTTCACGACATCTGCGACAGGCACCCTCTCGAGGCTTGGTATCTCCACTCCCATCGTGGTCGTTGTTTGAGGACTCTGGACGACAATAACATCGGCCGCAGCAGTAGATTTGCTTTCCGTCGGGCTCCTCTGGCTCGCCGGCGTCCCTGCGACGTCTTCGATCTCTACGGGTTTCAAGGTGCCCGCTACTTCGTAGGGCGCAGCGAAAGAAGTTTCCACGTTGGTCGGCAGAATGTCCTCCACCGGATAATTTTGAAATTCGTGAAGCATGACGTTGTCTACGTCGTTATTCACCTTGTCCAAATGGTTCGCGTAATCGGCCAGCACATCTTCACCGCTTTTCCCATTGTTTCCAGTTTTTTCTGGCAACATTACTGTTGTGGTTCTCACTTCGTAGGGATTGACAGAATCGACGGGGGAATTCTTCTCTTCCGGGCTCTGAGAAGCAACCTCCGAGATGTTCATAGTGGGAGGTACTTCATTTAAAAACCGAATGTGTTCCCTCCAACTTGAGGGTATGGCGCCGATGTCGTTGCCATTATAGTGATCTGCTGAACCTGAAATGAAGTTTTTTGAACTTACACTATTGCGGGTCGGGAACTTCTGATTTTCATGGACACATGAGGGAGCCTAGAAAAGCGTTCTCAAAAACACATTCCGCGACTTGCTGATGGAAATATTCCTTCTCTTGAATAAGGTGATTGGGTCAGCAACCAAAAAAAGCTATGGCATAGGCGGCAGAGGTATATCACCCATTTCAATGCATACCCACCGTTTGAGAATTCGTTAGTGTCTGCATTTTGCTCTCTCCTTACCCTCCATCCTTTTCTTTTCTCTTCTCTCATCTAGGAACCTAGTCTCCCTGTTGGTCCGCTTGCAGAGCCTTATAAACTTGCAACCGCTCGAAAACCCTTGTTTTAGGTTTTTTGGTGTATTTTCTCGCTCCTTCCTCTGCCGATCTACTGCGCACCTTTACCTTTTTTGACAAAGTGATCGCAGCAGGGGATCACGGAATGTGTCTTTGATAGCCCCTCACCGACTTGGCTAATCAACCTTGAAGCAAGATGCTACCTTTTAGTTCTTCTAAAGCGTGGCCATCATATTCCTTCTCTAGTTCTGGGAACTGATCTTCAATGGTGTCTCTGAGGTTCTCAGCACTTGCCGGCAGATTCGCATGTTGGCCGTGAGAGCCTGTATACATGTGTGGATGTTTTTCAATTGAAACAGTCTCAGACATACCAGCAGACAAAATAGCAGTGTGCCCCTTCTGGCCGATTTAGTTCAACCTGTCTATTTTGTAATGAAGAAAACACAACACGCATTGGAAGCTTCTAAACTGATCCAATTTGGTTTTGCTGCATTTTGAGTTGTCTGCCACCTCCTGCAGAAGAACTCTACAGCGCTGTTTCATCAGCTGACTTCACTGACGTTCTGACTGAAGTTGAAGGTTCAGTACCTGCTGGGGCAGAATCCCGTAGCACGATATCGCGATTCCTCTTAGCAGCAACAAGGTTCGGCCTGCAACAGATGTTGAATGTAGACTTTCTGTTGCCATCAAAATGGGCTGAATAACAGCTCCACCATCACTGCAATTCTTTTGGCGGCTGCACCAGCTTGTAGACAAGGGTGAAGTTAAGTTGGCTCTCCCGAAAATGGATTGCGCGAAAGGGTCACACTAAGAACAGAACGTCGCTCTGCTTGTGGTCCTGGCATGGTAATACATGGTCAGATTTGACAACACTGTGGAAACTCACCGAGTATTCCAAAAGGCAGCGAAGCCTAGCAAGGTGACGGTAGCGATGACTGCAATGTGACACTTCTCAATTTTGCACCGCCGTCGATACCTCAAGGGAAAAGAAGTCTCCATATATCTGAACTTAGAGGATATACAATTCTTACCGCAGAACTCTTTACACAGGCTAACGTAAGCGTTATGAGCACTGGTGTAGATCCGCGTCGAAAGCAAACCCACAATGAAACCGCTGGACATCTCTACGAGGAACAAGCGTGTCGTTCAAAGTAACCGCGCTACAAGCGCTCTACTTCCTTGCCCTCTATCGAATCAGCCCAAATCTACCTGAGCCCAAAGCAGCAGTAAGGTAGGAGAAATTAGATACAAGCTATAGGGATGTCTAACCATAAGGAGCGTGTCTGCAGGCCTGCTAGGTTTGTCAACGGACGCGACTAGTAAAGCTAATAATTGGGTAATATACGTAACCAGCAAAGTGATGTCATTTAGGTAGGCTCTCCTCTCTACAAAGTCTGTTCAGGTCAAATATTAGAACTGAAAAACGGCAGAAAACAGCTGGCGGCGAGCTTTGTGACGTTTATCCTGCAATCCACTTCAACGACTTCATAGAAACTCCCACTCAGTTTCCGAAATATGGGTTGTATGTTGGTGTCCTTACTCTCATTGTATTAAGCAGACCGAGAGGTAGAAGGCTTTTCAGGCTAGACGGGGTTTGGTCCACGATTTGACTGTCAGAACGTCTCCGTAAACTGGCATAGCTACTGTCACCATATACGCCACCCAAGGTGAACCTAGTCATGCAAGGAGGGCGTTTCTAGGTGTCCTGTGAGTTGTATGTAAATGGGCAAATCAAGGTTTAGAATCGTCGTCTTGGAACCTGAAATTGGTGCAACTAAGCCTCGAAATTTGATGGCAATTTGGAAAGCCCTCTGGCGCTGAAAGTTCTGATTCTTCCAGAGTTTGAGGCAAGTTTTTTCTTCTCAATTATTGAGTCCCAAAGCAATGCCTACACGAGGTGCCCCATCCACGCCCTGCAAGAAGTTCACAGGTATATTTGTTTGTTTTGCAACGTATAATTTGTCACCAATTCTTCAACCCTCCCATGAAGGGTCTTCCAGGCGCAGTCCTCTGGTAAACGGCATCTATTGTGCGAGAAGACAGCAATGTGTAGCGCCACCAGACATTCTCCAGTTAGGCCAGCACCTCTCTGCTGAGCGCGTGCATTGCTGGCCACCGTCCCCGAAGAGAAGAATGACCGCTGGATAACCTCGTCATGTTCAAGCATATGAACAAATCTGCCCTGTCGGCAATTGAGGGAATCACATCATCTGCGCAGCGTCATCCCCTCATTGGTTCGAGCAGGCCGCTAAACTACGTGAAGGGAATGGTCCAACGGTTAGGAAAGGTAGGGAAGTTAGATACGCAAAGGATGGCCCTGCAGCAACTCCAAAACGTCGGCTTACCGACCTTCTTGTAATAACTTACCAGAATTTCTTCCGGGTCTTTAGCTCTTCGAACCCCCAAAATTCAGGCCCGGTCGCGCCAGTACGGCCTAGGGAAGTATTGTGCGCCTCAAAGCGTGCTTCCTGCATCTGTTGGTCTCAATGAATCTTACATAATGGCTGATCATCGACATCTTAGGTCCTTGTGCACATGGATGCTCATGAAAAAGAGAGGGCTCAGTCTGAAGGAATGCGAGAAGTACAACAGAAACGAAAATCAGCTGGACGACCAGAACAAAGCATCAATAGAAAGAGAGGCGATCGGAGCTGTTTCCAGAGGAAGGATCGGCGAGATTCGTGGAAAGATATCTGGGCAGATTCAACATGAGATTAGACAAGTGCATCGCGACCGGTCTTTGAAACATACAATCGGAGCTCTAGAACTTTAGAGGTTCGCTTTCTGGACATCGGCACCCCCGAATCGATCTGTGTTGCCTCAGATATCGAGAAACATTGTGCCCAATCGTCCATAATTCAGAAACTTCCACAGTCACTCAGTCCAGATGTGCTTACTCTATTTCTCCCATTTCTTGGGATTTGTTGTTTTTAGTCGCGCTGACCCTTTCCTGACTTTTCGAGCAGTCCTCCAAACTGCTCACAGCACAGGTCCCACTTTTACGCGTGAATATCGTTCCCATCTTTTATTGCACATAGGGATAGAACAAATCAAAATTGACAACACGATTTCCAGGTAGAGAGGCGAGATTCAGCACTGCCGTGTTGGTCGTTGCTTGAGCTAAGG